ATAGGCTGCTCGCGTTATAAATATCCGACAGGCCAATAGGAGGCTGCAAAATACGAAAAGACACTAGAAAGGATGGCTCCTGATTGGGTGGATTTGCTTATTTTTCACTTTCACCCGATTGGCGTTTTGTTAATATAGCTTACCTAATCATCGTGGTATAAGTCACGTGGTATAAGCACCGACATTTTTCCATATTAAGGTTCGGTCTTGTCATGTGATTCTTATATAAGCAGCTAGTTTTTCTGGTTGTTGGCACGTGCGACCCGAAGCCGCAACTCTAAACAAACGACGCGGCAATTCGCCGTACATACATAGAACTTGCAGTCACACGAAGTACAGCGGGCTACTAAGGAAATCGATGCCATAAGTCCCGACATTCCCTACGAGTCCATAATAGGCCACGGCACAATTAACAATCCAATCGACCCCACGAAGGACGTGAAAAATGCGTCTATATTTCCGGACTATTGTTTCTTCATGGACCTCAAGTGATACATCTCTGAGAGCCGGGATGAAGGGTGGAATAGTTCAGTCTGCTACAATGCAATACAATGCTCTTCTTAGTACTGCTGCTTGTAAAACAACCCTGAATCGTAGTGATGAAAACGTTGTAACAACCGTGGATTAATATATTGGTTTTAGGTAGATTTACCTTGACAGCCCAGACCAGCTCTCTGCCTATGCGGAGATAGACCACATAGATATCTACCTCCTCATTCGCGCGTTGCGGGCGTCGATAAAAAGGGTACTCCATACAAGACTTGGAACTGTAAGAGGCTCTGCTACCTTGTGGGCCTCCGGGTTTAACGGCTAAACCCGGCTAATATCTGTTCACGCTTTGATTATTATGTAAGCTGCTGCCTAACTCTTAGGCGCGTGCGCGCGCTTGTTTATAGCAACAACCAGCGAACGACGACAAACGTCGCCGGGCCTGACCACCCCATGGAACAATGCATGTTGTGTCCATGTGGGTGCAAATCGAACGACATTATTCAACACAATACCAGATAAGCGCTCTGGCGACTATCCAAACCTGTCAAACCGCTGAGCCAAAAAGACGATTCCGTCTATCTCATTGACAAACCACGATCATGGCCAACGAGGCACCGGTGGGCTCTCGGGAGGAAGCGCTCCTCCAGCAGCTAGAGAGAGAGAGGGCCCTTCGACGACAGGCAGAGGAAGAGAAAGAAAGGGAGAGGGACCTTCGACAACAGGCAGAAGCAGAAAATGCAAGGTTCCAAAAACAGTTACAGCCAACTACCCTCCCCGAATTTTTGGATGCCTGCCATGTGTACCTATCCGTGGGCTTTTCTCCACGTATAAACTACAAGACCGGAACGCAAGGAAACCCCGAAAATGCATATCTGAAACTTCGTCCTGACTATATCCGGGAATGGACTACATTCTCCCAGGAGCAATCCGAGGTGTGGAGAGATCTCTTTAGCGTTGACTTTGCCTCGGAGCCCCATTTCACCTCCTTGAACACATTGAAAGAAATGGGCAACGACTTGCAAGTCAGGTCAATGGGCTCCGAGCTAGATCTTAATTACTACGAACGCTATGCTGTTGAGGACCGTGTCTCGCTTATCATCCGGAATCTTTTCTCAGATGACAGACTCCGCAAGATATTCAACCTCGGAGGGGATGTAACGTTTGAGAACCATGGAAATACCATAACCACGGAGGAACGGGGCGCCGAGCCGACCGCAAATCCAGATATTGGCTCCCCACAACAGTCTCCGGTGCAGAAGCGGCGGAAGAAGGCGGACATGCACGGGGATTCACTACCTGCTACGCCGACCGTGCGGTCAAGGTCGTCTCGCCCCCGCGCTGACCAGTTCTGTGTTTATAATACAGGGCCAGAAAGAGCCATACCCGCGTTCATCATTGAATACAAGGCACCACATAAACTCACGTTGGCCATCATAGAGGCTGGTCTCATGGAGATGGACGTTGACGATGTGGTTATATACAATGAGAGTGACGATCCCGTGAAGCTTGCTCAGCGAAGGGTAGCTGCAGTCATCTCACAGGCTTTCTCCTATATGATTCAGGCCGAACTTGAGTTTGGATATGTCTGTACTGGTGAAGCGTTTATATTCCTCCGCGTGCCTTCTGATGACCCCGCCACGGTGTATTACTATCTCTCGACCCCAAATGAAGACGTCGGAGAAACCACTGGCTGGGCTGGCGGGGACTCAGCTAACAGGCTACATCTTACGGCAATCGGCCAGGTTTTAGCCTTCACCCTTCGGGCCTTGAAGTCGCAGCCCCACGGCCAAGTCTGGCGCAATAATGCAGAGGCACAGCTAAAGCGGTGGGAGATCGAGCAGGATGATGTCCTCTTTGGATCAGATATCGAGGAGAGCACCGGCAAGAAACTGTCAGATTACAAGCAGGATCGGAAGAGTAGAAACGAATATATCCGGGTGTCGCCAATCAAAACAAGGTCAAAATCAAAAGCGTTGGCCTCGTGCCGTGACCCTGAAGAAAGACCGACGGGCTCAGAGCCCAGTGACGACGGCGATGACGACGATAGTAGTGGAAGTGGTGGGTTCGACCCCGGCAGTCCAAGCAGTGGGCTCCCCCGCCGTGCCTCCAACGTCACGGCAGTCACAAAACCTCCGCCCACGGGAAGCAGGGAGCATAAATACAGTCTGGAACCGCCTGTAGAGCCGACGCAGTTCTGCACCCAGAAATGCCTCTTGGGCCTGTTTAACCGCGGGCCCCTGGATCAAAATTGTCCACATGTGGCCAGCCACGGTGTGGAACGGCACGCCATTGACGACCGTGAATTCCGCAGACTAGTCCGTGCACAAATTCTAGCGGACTCTGGTCCTTCAGGCTGCGAATCTATGCACCTCCACGGGACCAGCGGGGCTTTGTTCTGGCTTACACTCTTTCCATACGGGTATACCCTTGTAGCAAAGGCAATGCCTGTTGAAACAGTCAAGTGTGCACTGTATGAGGAGCGGATATATCAACACCTCCGTCCGATTCAAGGAATCTACATACCTGTCTGTCTGGGCAGTGTTGACATATCCAGCCGGCCGCTATGGTACGATGGCATCTTCGAAGTAGTTCACTTACTGCTTCTCGGCCACGCAGGACGGCTGGTAAAGTTCCACGCCGGTGCTAACAACCTGAGAGACTTTGCACCTTCTGCATGCGAGTCTCTACGGGCGATCCATAAGCAACATGCCCTACATCGGGATGCTCATAGCGGCAACATGTTCTGGAATGCAGAAAATAAACAGGTGATGTTTGTCGATTTTGAGCGTGCGAGGGTCGTGAATAGCCAGACGAAAAAGAGGAAACGGGGGACGCTCCCGCTTTCTAGCCACGGTAATACCGAATTCGAACGGGAGATAAAATCGGTAGAAAGACATATGGGATTTAGATAGTCTTGGAGTGGGCACTGGGCCACGGGACAGAAAGGCCTGATTCCCCTGGAACTCAGGACTGGTCGTCCTCTCACTGAGGGCATGGCCAACGTACCTATCAAAGCAGATAGATATATAGAGATAATATCTCCTCGCGCAGCAGTATGCGAGTATCCGTGGGTTATTAAATATTGTACGGATTGTATCATACATGAATCTAGTATAAAGACGGCAGATATAGGTAGCAGTTATAGTACATAGAACAGGGACGCATCTAGCATCCCCTCCCTGGCTCGTCGACAGCTCTCAAATGGTAAGCAGATAACACACGACAGCAAAATGTAGAAAAGAGTAGTAAGATTATTTGTCCCTCCCCCAGACCTCCTTACGCAGCTGCCTGTCCTCGCGAGCCATCGTCCGCTTGAGGCCCCATCGAGACTGGACAGCTGTCAGAATCTGCCGTTGAATAGCCTTCTTCTCTCCGGCCGCCTCGCATGCCATTCCTACAAACAACGTGCTGCACCCAAACTTCTCTGCCAGCCTGCTCCGGCTCCAGTGCATGGGATCACTCTTCCGCAGCTCTCGCATGGCCTCTATCTCCTCCTTGGTCAGGTATTTTTTTGGTTTTTCCGCTTGTAGTAAGGATGGCAGCTCGCCAACGTTGACGTCTGTCGTGGACTCCAGCTTCCCCCGTAGTGTCCGCCGTATGTCGTCGGCAGGCAGGAATTTTGTAGGTGTGAGGTAGACGGAGGGGGCGCTGGAAGGAGGGTTGTGGATGATGTGTGCTTCGGTCGAGCTGGAGGGAGCAAAGGAGGCGTCAGGTTTTATGCGTAGCCGCTTCTTGGTGCGGCGGTAGGTCGACTGCCATCGTCGGCTGGCCTGTGACTGGAGTTCGGGGCAGAGAAGCAGGTTGAGGGCCGGACGGCGCGTCAGGGCAGCCGTGCAAGCCATGTCGAAGCTGTTCAGTCGTGGTATATCTTGTCTTGATATTGGTGAAGTACTTGTTCTCCAGGCAGTTGGCCCACGAACGGCCCAACTGCTCAATTGGCGAGCTGGAAACGGGCAGCAAGGCAGGACGTCGAGTGCAGCAGCCTCAGACCGCAGCAAAGATGTCGATTAGCGAGATTATTCGGCGTCTCGAGGCTGTCGATGGTTTTTTCTGCTTCTTCTTCTTCTTCTTCGTCTTTTTTTATATTTTGAAGCCAAAAAAAAAAAAAAAAAAAAAAAAAAAAAAAAAAAAAAAAAAAAAACTTTCGACCAAGATGATCACGTGACGATCAGCATCACGTGAGATGCTTTTTTATATGGTGTATTGACTTTACACTCAGTATCGAATAAAAGTATAGATGACTAAGATAACATACGTAATTACCGTACACGACGTCATCTTCTTCCGTCAACAAACAAGAAGAAAAAAAAAAGAACAAGCAAAAAAGGACGATCAAACGACAAAAACGACATCAAAACCAGCATCGACGCCGACAGCAACTGGACAGCTTCAGGCTCGCTCGGTCAAAGACGCCTGCTGGCCGCCCTCGACTCGCCCAATCCCCGTCTCGCTGCCCGCCGAACACACGCGGCGCCCTTCGACCTCGCCAGCCTTCCCCAGACGGACCGGAGCCTTTTTGGCTGCATCCTCTACGCCGTCCCAGCCGCCCCAGGGGGGGTTGGACGCTCGACGACAGCGACAGCGACAGTGACAGCAGCTGATGGCGCTGGCTATTCCTCCTGGAGCTCGCGGGGCCGACCTGCCGGAGAATAGCATGGCCTCCAGCATACTACCGGCCCAGCCGCTGCCCGTCGGCAAGGACAAGCATACTACCGCGAAGACTACTACTACTACTACAACTACTACTACAACTACGCCAGACGCTGCGCCGCAGAAGCCCGCCAGGCAGACATCGCGCCCAGGCAGC